TTGATTGGAAGTCTGGCATCATTGTTCAGAATGCTAAATCAGGAAATTAATTAGCATATGAAAGCAAATGTGCATCCATTTGTCTCCAGCTTTTTCCTTACACTAACCAAAACAAAGTTGGTGTTTTCCTGTGATACGCAAGAGCGATGGAATGCACAGACCATATTTTTTATCATTTAGCACTAGTTTATAGCTTCCACAGACTTGTCCTAATAATGAAGCTATGAAGGATATGACAAGAATGGTGATATTAAATTTCTCTAGACTAACAGTAAATTTTTCCATTCTGATGTCAAGAATGTAGAGCATCTGGATTCCGCAGTGTGAGTGGTTCAGTACGGGAACACTTTCATCAAATGGTTCACCATTTACTCTCCTCCAAGGAACAAGCAGACTCCTACAGAAAAGAACACCCTGAAAGAAGCAGTTTTCTGGAATTCTGGACAAATTATTTGTCCCATTGTTTCCGATTTAAAAGCTTTCCGTTGTTTCTTAGCATTAAATCTAATCGCATGTGCAAAATTAAGTGAAGCATTTTTAAATCAGAATTCTCAAGATTACATACAGTTACTCAGATCTAGTAAAATTGTGTTAATTAAGGTTAGGAAAAAATGAAGAGACTCTGAAGGCAGGAACTGTCTAAGTCTATTAATAGAACAAAGTGTGAAATCTGTCTGTTGCTTTCTGAAGCAGGGACAATGCTGAGGTTTCAGGCATTGGATTTTTCCCTTTAAGTTGTTTCCTTAGTCCAAGCTGGCAGAATTCTACAAACCTTATTTTGCAACCATTTTGTTTTACTGTGTGTATGCAACAAGCCCAAAAACTTCAGAGTAGTTTCCCTATCCGTGACAAGCTCTTGTACATTTTCGTTTTAGGCTGTCTGTATCTATTAGGTTATCTACATGTTTGTATATAGATTATTTCTGTTAACAGTTATCTAGTCGTTGGTTTTTAAATGCCTGTGTTTCTTTTCATGGAAGAAATAAATTTCATGTGAAAGTGTTGGATATCTGGTATTAATTTATTAAATTTCTTTATTCTTGATTCAGGTAGTTAGGCTTAATAGGCCATCTGAGCACCTGCAAACTTTTCCTTCCTCTCTTCCAAGGGTTTTATGATATTACTGTGTGCAATGCTTGTCTCCTTTTATTGGTATTGCTGTGCTACAGGGATGCCACTTGATTCACATCTTAGTTCAAGTTAGACACTGTACCTAGTTTATATAACATGAGTATAATATCAGCATACTAGTATCTAAAACTGGGGGTTCCCGTGTTGTTCTGGAAGTGACTCCTATTACCACTGGGTTATGTGACCATGTTTAATCTAGAAAGAACCTTAGATCTTTCCTTCTCTGTTTCAGTGATTTGGGAAAGTCCAGGGATGATTATGCTGTGATGTGATTTTTATTTTCAATTTTTTTTCCCCAGGTTGTAGGACAGGCCGGACTGACTTCCCTTTCTATAACTGGTTGTAGTCTTACATCTCCACGTTTAAACTCTTTGTTAATTTTTGGGATGTGTGCTCAGGACGTTTGAGACCTTTGAATCAATGTTCTGCTTTTAAAAATAGAAGTAAATGAGTTTTTCTTGTGTAAGTCATGATGTTTACTTTACTGAATTTTGACACCTGAAGTATTTTGATACTAGAAAATCCCAGTGGACCTTTGATTCATTTTAAATATAAAGCCTGCTTAAATTTAGCCAAACTAGACTAAAAATAATGATAATAAAAAAGAACCTGAACAGAATAGCAACAGGTTTTTTTTTTGTTTGTTTGTTTTTTGTGAGGCTCTTTACAGTGTTGCCAACATAAGGAATTAAAAAAAAAAAAAAAAAAGATTTTTTTTCAGCTTTTCATGATTTCTGTTGTTTTAAACAACTTCTAGAGCCTTTTAAAGAGCTTTTTTTGTGTGTTAGTTTAAATTTTAGGCACCCTTCCAAAAATGTGTGCAAAATGCCTTTTTTAATGGAAGATCAGTGCATGCCATTTGACTCAGAGCTGTGAGGAGAAGGCATTGTACAAAGCCTGACGATAGCACAGCCTGGGCCTGGCAGCGTTCAGCTCTCTGCTCCACAGCTACATCTCATCCCATGGCTTTTAATGCAGTTTTAATTTACGTCACAGTCCATCTCAGCATAGGGCATATCCTATGAGCATTTTAAAAACTCACTATAGCAACACTTCAATGTTTCCAATTGGCACCAAAAGAATTTTTAAAAAATAAATGTGATTTCAGCAGACTGGCAGTGGTAAAAGCAGTGAACAACTTGCATTGCTTGCAGTGGCCTTTGGCTCTGGCCCACAGAACCACCTGCGGTGCAGCTCGCTAGCTTTGCAGGAGGTTGGTTTGATGTTGGGCTGAAGCACAGTCTCCAATGGTAAATTTTTCTCTTCTCTCAGTCTACATAATGGTTAGTTTCAAGGGGAGTCTATAGAGCAGGAGTATAGTGTTCCCTGTGTGCTGGGTGGCCACGGCTGTCCCGCTACAGAGAAGAGCTGGATCTTGATATGTTCCCCTTCTGGGTCAAAGCTATAAACACGGCGCTGCAGAGCTAAAGCAGGGCAGGACTTGAAACGCCACCATAGAATTGGATAAAATGAGTTGGCACCCATCTAATTTTCTCCTTTTCCCCAGAAAGTTGCATAACTTGGGTAAGTTGCTGTTGAAGCTAGCATTAGAGCTTCTGAGACATAAAAACATTCATTTCTCTGGAAGGGGCAGTTCAGGGCTGTATGAGCAAATTTAGCCCATGGCAACTCATGGCAATTCATCTGAATGTGGAAACCCCAAGGAATGGAAGCACCCACAGGACTATTCTGTCCTGAATTGTAGGTAGTTCTGTGTGTAAAACCCAGTCTCACTACAGGCACCTTTAGTATTATCTTGTATTCCTACAGTAAGAGTTACCCCATCAAGAAACTTATTTTCACAGGGATTTAATTATATGAGGTTTGAGAAGCTACATTTACAAACGTAGAATAGTTTCATGGTAGATTATAAGTAAAAACTAAGCAGATTTGGTGAACAAGAAAGAAAAAGCTTGTTCTGTTGTACATCTCTTATGTGAAGGGAGTGGCTAAAGTTCATATTTTCTTTCCTCCGAAAGGCATATGTGAATTGTTCTTAAACAGTTATGTCACGGTATAAGCTTGCATTGAGCTTTCTATTCCATTTTTTAACAACCTCCAAGTTATTCTGAGGTAAGTGTATTTGCAGTAACAAAAGTAGTTCTACACAGACATGTAAGGCTGAGTGTAAAGTAATTTTAATTTTCTAAATATATTTCTTAAAAATGAAGTAAATTTAATTGGATAGGTTTTTTTGCAATTTTATTTCTTCTTCCTAGTTATTTCTGCAGCTGAAGTAATAGTCGTGTCATTTTGAGGCTGTTAACTACTGTGACATCCACACCTAAAAACTGATTTATTTTCTTTTTTTTTGCCCAGTGGTGAAATTCTAATAATCCAGAAGGTAAAAGCCAAAAGTCCCATTCAATTTCTGTTCCTTCAGTGTTCAGTCATTGATGGAATCTTGCTTGGCAAGACTTAGTTTTCTTTTTCTGTCCGTGCAAAATTGTAGTGGTTTGAGTTATATCCTCTTCTTACAGTATTTCTGAAGAATAAATAAGAACAGATTTAAATAAAAGCAAGATTCTAAGAAAATGAATGTCAACCACCAAAAACCCTTGGACCACAAAAAGAATGTATCTGGAAGGAACGGGTTTTTTTTTCCAGAATGTTTTACTGAAAGGCAGTAAAAAACATGAAAATGCTCAATAATCAGGTCCCAAAGGTGCTGTATGTGATTTTGGAAGGGGAGTGAGGTACCTGGAAAGGTTGCGAAATTGTGTTTACTAATAAATATTTGAAGTCGTAAGCTTTCAGGAGATAAGAGGCATAGTAACAATAGGCAACCTATAACTTAGAATAATGTTCTTCACTTGCAGAATATCTTGTAAATCTGTCCTTGTGACGAACAGCAGCACTTACTCAGACTAAAAATAATAGCAAGACCATGTATCTTGGATCCCGGGAGACTGTTGGTGTTTTTGTAGACAGCAGACAGGAGAAAAAAGGCATTTTGTCCTTTTTACCCCAAGTAATCCCACTGGAAAATTAAACATGTGCTATGAATTGATATCAGCTCATGCCAGGTTACCTCCCTAAAGAAAACTGCTGCAAACACTGTTGCTACATTTCTTGGACAGCGGCTTGATAGCCTGTGTGCATGATGGATATTTTATGCTGCATGCTACTGTGGAACACTGTGCTACTGTCTGCCCCTCAGAGCCTGCTGGTGAGGTGTGTCACAAATAACCGGGAGCAGCAATGGCCTTCACCCTATGGATAATCTCGAATACCTGTGAATTAAAAATATGACTGAAATAGTACTCTGTGGGGGTGTTCCTGGGAAAGCTGCGTTGTTTTTGTTTTTTAAGGTTTAATAGTGTAACACATAACAGTTCCTTTTGTCTTGCTGAGTGTTCCTACTGAACACAGGATAAAAAAAAATATTAAGCAATATATTAACAAGAAATATTTAGAGAAACCACGAACCCTTTTTTAATGGACCACCCTATCCAGTTTCTGTTCTTTTAAGGAAGTTTTTCCTATTCATGACTCATTTCACTCTTTGGCTAACATCAAGGGAAATGGAATAACGATTAAGCGAAGGAATGTATGTTTTTTTCTCGTTTTGTCCTTTTTTTTTTCTTCCCCAAAACCTTTACGAATTTCTCTGTAACCTTGTGTAAATACATATGGATATAGAAGCTCAACAACTGTGACAAGGTAAAAAGTATACTGCTAATACTTTCTTTTTTGTAATTTTTAAAAAATGTTCTTTTTAATTCTACAAGCTAATGTTATACTGGATACTCCAGACTCCCTATTCAGTTAAAATGACATGCTCCAGGCAGCCAATTACACAGAACTGTTAAGTGAAATTAATGAGATCACCCCTAGATTACACTTTGTGTTTTATTTTCATTTTATAGGTCTGTATGAACTGCTGGCAGCATTGCCAGCCCAGCTGCAGCCACATGTGGACAGCCAGGAAGACCTGACCTTCCTCTGGGATATGTTTGGTGAAAAAAGCCTTCATTCACTGGTGAAGGTAAACCACATTTAAGTCAAATTCTCTTTGAGAAGAGCATATGGAAAAATGTTTTGAGCGCCATCTAGTAAACCAGTGAAAAAACTTGCTCAGTGAAAACAAAACAGCCTTGTTTTAACTCTGTTTCTGTCAGAGTGGAAGTTGTTAAATAAGATTCTACCAAAAATACATAGATGATTTCATTTAAGAGTGATGTTTTGGCAGCATAATGCTAATGCAGCAAACATATGTTGTTTGCCCTTGTTTAGAAAAAAAGAGTAAGGAATAGTAGCAGGAAATCTGAGCCTTCTTTATGGTCAACAATCAAGACCTGGAGTTTAGCTTAAATAAATAAATGTTCACAGCAAAAATTAGAAGGAATATATTTTCTGAGGTCAAGTATGGCAACAGTTCAGTAGCCACATTAATTTAAAATAATTTCCTTTAACAAAGTCAACTGAAATTCTAGTAAGCTGTTTCTTTTATTGGCTTGCCTCCATTTCAAATTGTTTTGCACATAAATATGTTGGACTGAAGGACAACCTAAAATAAGTTTGGAAGAATACTTAAGTAAAGTGTCCTGCTACAAAAATGATCAGCAATGAGGGATCAAAGCATGCCATGCAGAGTAACCCCAGTACTACTAGAATTGCTTACAGAACAAAAATGGGACCAATCAGCTGATTAGAAATGTTCCACTCCTTCAAAATGGTAAATGTGGCTCAGGTCACTAGTACAGAGCTAATTCAAGCTGTAAGGAAATCCTTAGTTCTCAAGTGAGTCAGTAACTGGTGGTAACCCACACCATGAATATATCCAGGCTAGAATGTAGTTGAGTAGAATTTGTTGCAGTTGTCAGTCGTTGATCTAGAAGAGGCTTAACACTAAAGCTGTTATTTTGATGTAACCTTTTCCCCTCTGTTTCAGCAATCTTACTCCAGAAAAGATTTGATAATGTTGGAACTTGGCCAAGATTTTCAAGTTAGCTGTGAAATTACACATAAAAATAGGCACAAGTACACAAAGGCTACAAACAGCGGAATGATGTTTTACAGAACTCACTTGTCTCAAGAATTTAATCTAATTTCTGAAATGTGGTGATTCCCAGGCTTCTTATTGCTTTGATTCAGCTGTCTGTTCAGCTTGCTAAGATCACTGAAAGAGAAACACTGATTGTATTCCTAATGTAGGTTGATAGCAGTGTGAATCTGAGTTAAATGTTAGGTCAGGAGCTAAATTAGTTTTCATTCTGGATTGGAATTTAAAGAAGGCTGTCTAGAACATGAGCGTGGATCTGTGAAACAGTAAAATTTCAACATTTGCTCTTAATTTTGTATTGAGTCAGAATCTTAACCTTTTGAACTTATGGAAGTGGTCCCTTGTCTCTCCCTGCAAAAGAAAATAATCATAGCACAACTGTAACTATGACACTCATCTTGAGTATACTCTGTTTGGAAAAGTTGTGCTCTCATACTAGTGGTGAGTCCTAATTGTTTGTTATTGCAGGATGGATTGTTCTTATTAGATGAAAAAGGGCTCTTCAGGCAGTTGGGAAATGTTGGGCTTCAGTGAAAGAACATCTCGTTGCAGTTACAAGCAGTCATTGAAGTATTCCAACAATCTTTATTATTTATCTTTAGATTTTAGGACCAAGAATTAAATAAATGTGTAGTTCCTAACTTGTGAGAGGTTATGTTGAGGTCCTATTATGTCTCTTCAAATAGATTTATTTCTTGAAGTTGCATCTTTTCTTTATTGTTTACTAGTTACACTTATTCTTTAATACACCATCCCAATTTTATTCAAAAAACAGCTTTTTTAATAATAAGAACTGAGGCTTTTATCAGCATCTAGAATGACTCAATGCATGTCACAGGATGCAGGACCTCACTTTCTGATGGCCATGTTATGGAAAAAATACCTGAAGAACTTTCAAAAGGTTATCTAGTTCATATCTGTGTCCCAAGGCTGTATCTGAAACACAGTACGTATTTGACCTTTAACTCATTTTAGAAGGATTATTCAATGTGCTATCAAGTTTCAGAAAAGGCAGTGAGTAGCTTGTCTGGAATGGAACTGTAAGAGCAAAAGAAAAGATCTCATCTGCCATAGTTTTTCCCTGTTACAAGGCTTCAGAAGTGCCAAACCTTTCTGGGTTCTGGTATCTCATTTGAAAGACTGTTTTTCCTAGCCGTAACTTCTTAAAGTCAACTGTTGTTGCAAAGACAAATGTTTTCAATTCGTCAGGCAGAGAATGATGACAGATATTTTGTAATAAAAAAGAAGCGCTAGCTTAGAGCCAAAGATGCTGCGATCGTGGTATGTGTGGGTTTTAAACTTCACAAATTGGAAGAAAATTAGCACTGATTTGCTACCAATTATGCACTAGTATTTCTCAATTTAAAATAGACACACTGCTTAATAAAAATTTCAAAGCTGAGCATCATACCTTGCTGTTTAATAATTGCAAGTATAAAGAAAAGCTGTTTTTCTAAGTTTTAAAGTGGATAAAATGCTCCAAAATGCTTGAAAAGTATAAAATGAACTTTCTACCTTTTGTACCGATATTGTAAGTTTTATGGACATTTAATAATCATAGTGTTTTGTGTTTGGTTATATGCTGTGGCACATGGTTTGCTACTCTGACCGTCTTAATGTTGAAAAGGATAAAAAACAAAACAAAACAACAGACCCAAACCTTGCATTGGATTTCTCTTCATTCAGTACTTTTGGATAGAAATCTTTTTGTGAGCTTGGATCAGCCTGAGCTGTTCTAAGAAGTCAGAAATGGAAAAGTTGTATTAGATCATCCAGTCCATTACCCTGCAAATACTGGATAGTTCCCTACAATACATTCCTATTGTAGTAAGTAAAACCAGCAAAAACTGATGCAACTGGTCTTGATTTCTTTTTTTTTTTTTTTTTTTTTTTTTTCTCAGTAAAAATCTGTTGATTAGATTTTTAGTTTGCAAAGTATAGAGAAGAAGGAACCCACAAGCACTGGTGACTGTTTGGAAGAGAAAGCTGTCTGTAGATAGTGAATGTTCAAAGTTTGTCTCCATTTCACTCAATTTGTTACTTCCTTGTCTTATTACATAACTTTCTTAAGTTTCTCCTTATTTTTAATATGGTGGAGATCCCAGTAATTCTGTAGAGATGTAATGACAAGGATCATGAAGAGATGATCCTTTGAATAATTACGAGTACTAATTTACTTGAAATCTTATCTAGCACATGAGCACTCTGTTTGTGCTGGATTATTAGAGGAACAAAGGTAAATAAAGGTATGTTTTAACATCTCCTTTAGCTTGTTTTTAGAGGAGTTACAAGAATTTCCATGTGTGCTTACTTGCTGTTAGTGCATAGTGTTAGTGTTATATACTAAGCTCCAAGATGACGCTTCTACTCGTAATGTAACCTTAAACATTTTTCATTGTATATATGTATATACATATGTATATGTAATGCTCGAACACTGAGTAAGCCTCTCTGTTAGGCTTTTTAACCAATTGTACTTTACCAATTGGCATTGACTGATTCAGAGCATGCACGTTTCTTTAGCCAATTCTGTACTCTGCCTGTAGAGGTTGTGGATGTCCTGTCTCTGGAGATGTTCAAGGCCAGGCTGGATGGAGCCCTGAGCAATCTGATCTAGTGCTTGATGTAGATCTAGCAGTCGGCAGCCTTTCCCATGGCAGGTGCATTGGAACTAGATGATCTTTGAGGTCCCTTCCAACCCAAGCCATTCTGTGATATTCAATGACTAAGAAAACAATGTGGTGTTGCTGTTTCTCTTGATAGGGAAGAGATCATACAACCAAAAAGCAGTATGTAGCACTGGGGAAGAAAATAACTACTGCAAAAAGTAAGGAATACCTGGTGAATCTAGACTGATTTCATTGTGACATTGTGTATTTTGGTGGCTGGCTCTGCAAAACCTTAGAATCATAGAGTTGGAAGGAACCTTTAAAAGGTCATGTAGTCCAAACTCCCTGCAATGAACAGGAACGTCCACAACTAGATCAGGTGCTCAGAGCCTGGTCTAGCCTGGCTGCAGAAGTCACCAGGAACGGGAAATCCACCACATCTCTGAGTAATGTGTTCCAGTGCCTCACCACTCACAGTAAAAGACTTTTTCCTTATATCCAAACTAAATCTACTCTTTTTAATATAAAACTTTTTGCCCTTGTCTTGTTACCACAGACACTGCTAAAGAGTCTGATTCTTTCTTTCTTGTAGATCCTCTTTAGGTACAGACAGGCCACTAGAAGGTCACCTCGCAGCCCCTTCTCTTTTCTAGATTGAACAGCCCTAGCTCTCTAAGCCTGTCCTCATAGGAGAGGTGTTCCTTAATTAGTGCTAATTTTCTATTAGTTTCACCTTTATGTGGCTTGGTTTGTAGTTCTGAGAAGTTTAGAATATACTCATGTTTGTAATGTCGATAACTAATATCTGATATTATGGACTATAAAGTGAATATTCATGACTAATATTTTCTAAGTAATCTAATCTTCAAAAATAGAATAGTCAGAACTATATCCTGGTATAAATTATTTGTCATGCACATTCAATCAAATGATTATATAGCCCAAATCTTACAATTGTGGTGGTTCTTGTAGAACTCATGGAGGGGCTGTATGGTGCAGCTTCCCCATCTTCACTATTGTCAGACATTCTGCACCTGACCTCCAGGTATGTTCTACATTAATTGTCTGTATTCTCTCCCCATGTGGTGCATCTTCAAGGTGAATCCTCTTGCCTGAGCATGTGCTCCAGCATCCCCACAATTGCATATTCTTCCCAAAGAATATAGAGGAAACAGACCTGCTTATATGAATTGTTCTGCTCAATTGTGTGCCACAAGTGATTTTTCTGGACTCATTGTTTAAACAGTTGATGAGGATGACCCACAGATTAAGGAAATGATATCTGTGTAGGTATCAAAGAATAACAAGGGTGGTGATGGATGAGAAGGATGTAGTAGATAGAATGGAGTTGGCTTTCTTCATGGTAGCCCAATG